GACATGAACAAAAGGCCGACATGAACAAAAGGCCGACACGGACAACAGGCCGACATGGACAAAAAGCCGACACGGACAAAAGGCCGACATGGACAAAAGGCTGACACGGACAACAGGCCGACATGGACAAAAGGCCGACAAGACAAAAGGCCGACATGGACAAAAGGCCGACATGGACAAAAGGCCGACAAGACAAAAGGCCGACAAGACAAAAGGCCGACAAGACAAAAGGCTGACAGCTAAGTGGCTGACATAAAAAAGACCGACAAGAATTTAACATGCAATCCAGTAAAGGCACGTGATCGCTCTACTTCATTCGGTTTCTTAGATGGATAGCAACTAGCATGGTCTCTTGGCGTTCCGCCGTATTGCATGTGGGCGATGATGCCGGCGGCGTTTGACTTGGTTCTTTGATGGTTGTCTCACCTCGTTGACATAGAAGGAGCTATAAAAGACAGTAGTGACCGCATTTCGCTATATTTAGGTGTTGATCCTTTGTGTTTAATACACTCCCGTAATCTTCAGTCGCTTGGATCCGATGGTTCACCTTATAAGGACAGCAATTAGCATCGTCTCTTCTGTTGAACGTTTCACCTTATTTCATGCCTTATTTCGATGGTTGTCAAGACAGAAGCTATGCAGTAAAACATATTTTGTGATATTAGTATTTTTTATGCTTGTCGGCCTTATGGTTTGTCGGCCTTATGGTTTGTGGGCCTTATGGTCTGTTGGCATTTTGGCTGTCTGCCTTTTGTCCATGTCGGCCTTTGTCGATGTCGGCCGATTGTCCGTGTCGGCCTTTTGTCTTGTCGGCCTTTTGGATGTCGGCCTTTTGTCCTACATCCACAAAGCATATACAAATATATATATATATATATATATATATATATATATATATATATATATATATATATATATATATATATATATATATGAGTAAATATGTGTGTATATGTGTGAGTGCTTATTTTATATATATATATATATATATATATATATATATATATATATATATATATATATATATATATATATATATATATATATATATACATATTTTTATATATCAGTAGATCTGAATGTGTATATGCATCCAATTTCATTAAAAAAATTATTTTAGCAAAGTAATTTAAAAGACAATCTGTTCACAAATCAATATCATTATAATACGATTTTACGAGAGTAATACTAGATATCACAAGACCCTGTGTAGGGGGGGGGGGTGGCTTGTGGTTGCTAGCAGCTGTTGAGGAGCGTTTTGTTCCCTGGCTACATGCCCATGTCGGCGATGATAGTTTTTGTTTTGTGTTTAGCCACAGCTCTTTATTTGACAAAATATTTGTCTGGCCATCTTATCTTGGGGATGTGTTGTAAACAGAGGCGTATCCAGGTTTTCGTTGTAGGGGGAGCGAAATGAGCAAAAAAAAAAGGCGCCGAATTTTTAACACGTTCTATATACGTGTATTATATATATATATATATATATATATATATATATATATATATATATATATATATATATAATACATATCATTAGCTGTATGTCATTCATTACTTCGCTATGATGTAAAATAAATTGTAAGTAGCACTTGAAGAAATAAGAAAAAACACACAATGTAGGCCGACAAAAACAAAAAATGTATTAATCTAATATATATATATATATATATATATATATATATATATATATATATATATATATATATTTATATATATATATATATATATATATGTATATACACTACAACCAAAAACAATAAACGCAAAACAAACTGTTTTGTATTCTTGTAAAAAAAATGTTTACATAATAATTCCTGGGACATTAATTAAGACAAGCGAAATAGGGGAAATAATCACTCTCTTAATATAAATATGTATATATCTACATATTTAATTATAAATGTCAAAACAAATCAATAATTACTTTAAAATGTAATAAAATTGTTTAACAATATTCGTGTTTACAAAATATTTTTGTCTACAATCAGAATTAAATATATCGTCATCATAAATGTTAAAGTATTACAGCATGATAAAAGTTTTAAAAAATCAGAGTTGGTAATAGAAAAGCATTCGGAATAAGAGCTTACATTTACCTAAACCATTGGTCTTTTAGTTCAGATCATACATCGTTTAATTAACTACTTCTTTATGTGTTCTTTAAAGATCATTTTTTAACATAGTGATCAGGTATGGGCTAGATCAATGTATTCATCACACACCTTTTTATGGTAATTGCAAAAACAATATTCTCAGAGTTTTACCTGTTTCATAAGCTATGATTCTGGCGGCATGGTACTTTGGTACATCGTTACGCGTTTTCCCGAATGTACTTAACAGATCAGTTCGGGTGGGTTGGGGGGGGGGGGGGGGGGGGTTCAACTTCATTCACCACTGTCCGGTCACTTTAGGTCAATTATCCAACCCAGTGTATACCTAAGTGTGACATTAATGTCGCTCTGCATAATTGAGGTGGTGAGGTGTGTGTGTGTGTGTGTGTGTGGGTTGGGGGTAGGGGGTGGGTGGGTGGAATAACCAACTCAGAGTGAACATAGCGTCAGTTTTTAGATGACTGTTCTAAACATACATATTCAATTACACATATATACTGATTCAGAAATAGATTTAAATATGTAGCAGTGGTATTATGACAATATTTTTTTTACAGAGGGGTGCATGGGGGGGGGGGGGGAAGAAGGGTTGCAACTGTTTCATATAATTTGTAATCGTAATCACTATCGCCCAAACTGTAAGAATATTACTACTTCATCGTGATGACGTTGTTGACCTTGTCAAAATTTCCCCACCTGTACGCAGTTTGCCCATAAGTAAATTTAAATAGAGGTGCCACATCAGTTGTATTTGTGTCTGTATTGTAATTTCAAAAAATAAATTACACGATTCAAACTGTATATATAAAGTAATTATTTGTGAAGATGTATGGATAATATTTTCTAATTCAATTATTCTTAAGCAAATACATTATACAGTTGCCTTAAACTTAACGTCCCTCTCGTCAATTGGTACCACCCGTAGAGGTTTTTTTAAATTGCATTGCATCGTAATGGTTATTTTTAGAATGACAAACTGATGCAGCTGTTAATACGTGTTGTAAACGTAGACACTACTAGACTAGTACAATAATGCTTAATTGCTGCATCAAAATAAATCTTGTGATTTACATAGATGTGCCGACCAAAAATATTTTTTAACAAATATTGTTTAAAACTTCGAGTTTAAAAAGTTAAAAAAAAAGGCGCCACTTTGCTGAAAATGGCCAGAGGGGGAGCGGCCGCTCCCCTGCTCCCCCTCCTGCGTACGCTACTTGTCGTAAATATCTGTTTGTGAACGACTGTAGCCTGTCTGTATTTGTGTTGGTAACCTTCCAGGTCTCCAAAACATAAAGCAAAGCTGCCTTAACATTTGTGGTGAAGATTCTTATCTCTGGCCTGACAAGGTTGTGCAATTCCATATCTGGTGTAGTGAGCCGAGGGCCGCCAAACAATATCACCAGGCGACATTGAGGTGGAGCGCTCAACGAAAGTGCAAAATAGGTCGACAAAACAAACAAAAACAACACCTGGAGATGACCAGGCTGAAACAACAAAGATGGGTTTCATCTGGAGTCAGGTTGATGGCACTGGACAGAGTACTCTAGAGATCTTTGGTTGGCGGCCCATACCCCAGCAGGACAGAGGACTCTGGAGATCTTTGGTTATCGGCCCATACCCCAGCAGGACAGAGGACTGGAGATCTTTGGTTGGCGGCCCCTACCCCAGCAGGACAGAGGACTCTGGAGATCTTTGTTTGGCGGCCCATACCCCAGCAGGATAGAGGACTCTGGAGATCTTTGGTTGGCGCCCCATACTCCAGCAGGACAGAGGACTGGAGATCTTTGGTTGGCGGCCCATACCCCAGCAGGACAGTGGACTCTGGAGATCTTTACGTGGCGGCCCATACCCCAGCAGGATAGAGGACTCTGGGGATCTTTGTTTGGCGGCCCATACCCCAGCAGGACAGAGGACTGGAGATCTTTGGTTGGTGGCCCATACCCCAGCAGGACAGTGGACTCTGGAGATCTTTACGTGGCGGCCCATACCCCAGCAGGATAGAGGACTCTGGGGATCTTTGTTTGGCGGCCCATACCCCAGCAGGACAGAGGGCTATCGAACAGTGATAATGATAAAATAAAAACAAATTAGACTAGTTTTTTTTTCTGTATCCATTTTGACCTGGTCAAGCTCCTAAACAAAAATATAATCTTCTCACACCTACAACACCTCAGGGTTAACTCCCCTGAAATCTAATTAATTAACCCTGTCGTAACTGGGCCCACAAGGACCTGCAATGGCAACGCCCATGAATTCAACAACTAAGGCAGAACTCACGCAGACGACAAAATATATTTGAAAAGAACATCAACCGGAGATAATGGAATGTTCAGCTGTTGCCAGATTATAAAGAATTTATATTTTAATGAATCTGATAGGGCTCTTAGACACGTAGCTGGTCTTTGGTGTACACAGTTAGCTGTGGTTTAGTCTAGACAGCTGTGGTTTTGTTCAGACAGGTATCTGTGGTTTTGTTGAGACAGGTATCTGTGGTTTTGTCAAGACGTTTAGCTGTGTTTTTTACGACAATCTCAAATTTTGTCTAGGCAATTATTGGTTTGTATGACATCCGTTGTTTTGTCTAGACAGCTGTGGTTTTGTCTAGACAACCGTGGTTTTGTCAAGACCGTTAGATGTGGTTTTGTCTAGACAGCCATGGATTTGTCTAGACAACCGTGGTTTTGTCAGGACCGTTAGATGTGGTTTTGTCTAGATATCCGTGGTTTGTCTAGACAGCCGTGGTTTTTTTCTAGACAGTTACCTGTGCAGTTGTATGAACATATAGCTGTTTGTTTTCCCTGTTGTTTCTAGTCCGACATAAAGACGAACCATGCAGGTACCGAAACAGTTATTGATCAAAGAGAAACTGATCTTTCTCACTCTGTTGGTGGCCGTGCTGTTGACAAAAACTTCAGCAGAGAGCGAGAGCGAGAACGAGAGCGAGAACGATGGTAAGATAAGATTTTATTTTAAAACTGCCACGGTCATTGTTAATACATGTAGGGTTTTCTTTTTGTTCTCGCGAACAGTTCTTTCTAGTTCGGCATGGCATAATCCAACGGTTCTTAAACTAGAGTCCCCCCCTCCTTACTGGTGCTAGGGGAGATGTGAAATGGTTTAACAGAAAAGTTAAATCCATATTAATAGTATATATATATATATATATATATATATATATATATATATATATATATATATATATATATATATATATATATACATATATATATATATATACATATATACATATATACACATATATATATATATATATATATATATATATATATATATATATATATAATATACAACCTATAAATGTCCGGATGAAAAATGTATAGGTTTGGTGATAATGGGTAGTGGGTAGGGTAAACTTAAGAACAAAACAAGATATATTTTGGAGCAGAGTTAGAATAAAATATTGAGTCAAAGTTAGGGTTAGTGTCGGTATTGTATTTGGGGGATCATAGAAATAAAACAGCAGGATTGATTAATGATTGTAGACGTGTTTAAAATGTTTTGATTCACGACTTTTTAAAAAATCTAAAACTGATTTCGTGTATTTTTGTTGTTGGTGGTTTTAGCTGAACCTACGAAGTACAGCAGGAACTTGATGCATTTCATGTCGCTCTTCACGGGACGGTTCGTAAATGCAAAATTTGAAGAAAACTATCAGAGCTCGAAGCTCGATTTTAAAGTAACCATCAAGCCTGTCTCTATGCCAAAATTTGACAAGGTAAGTCATTCACCTGTCTGAATGCCCAAATTTGACCAAGTAGGTCATCTGTCTCTAAGCCAAAATTTGACAAGTAGGTCATTCACCTGTCTCATTGCCGAAATTTGACAAGGTAGGTCATTCATCTGTCTCTTTGCCGAAATTTGACTAGGTAGGTCATTCACCTGTCTCTTTGCCGAAATTTGACTAGGTAGGTCATTCACCTGTCTCTATGCCAAAAATTTGACCATGTAAGTCATTCATCTGTCTCATTGCCGAAATTTGACTAGGTAGGTCATTCACCTGTCTGTACGCCAAAATTTGACTAGGTAGGTCATTCACCTGTCTCTATGCCAAAAATTTGACCGTGTAAGTCATTCATCTGTCTCATTGCCGACATTTGACTAGGTAGGTCATTCACCTGTCTGTACGCCAAAATTTGACTAGGTAGGTCATTCACCTGTCTCTATGCCAAAATTTGACTAGGTAGGTCATTCACCTGTTTGTACGCCGAAAAATTTGACTAGGTAGGTCATTCACCTGTCTCTATGCCAAAAATTTGACCATGTAAGTCATTCATCTGCCTGTACGCCAAAATTTGACTAGGTAGGTCATTCATATGTCTGTCCGCCGAAATTTGACCAGTTAGGTAATTCACCTGTCTCATTGCCCAAATTTGACTAGGTAGGTCATTCAACTTTAACGACACATTTTCTCATGAAAAGTAACTCTCAGCACAATCTTAATCCCTAATCCATAACATAACCATAAACCTGGACTATATCTGTCACTAACATTTAATCCCAGCACTGAATGGAGTGGCGTTACTAGGTCGGGTGCCCCTCCCCCTCCAACAACGTAATAAAATTATAGGCAAATGTGGTGTCATCCCGATCCTTGATGGTACCACAATGTGCCCAATCAGGCAAATACATTAAAACAACTTTTTAAAACTAAATTTTTAAATCAAGTTTCTCATTAAAATTAGTATCTTTCAATTTTGGTGTCACGTGATTTGCTGTCACCCCTCCCCCCAGATGGTATCACCGGGCTCGGCTCACGCCCCACCCTCGCCTTGTGACAATACTGCCTACATAAACTAACCCTCAATACTAACGTTTATATTCTCCATTCAATTTTTTTGATAAATTACCTTATACACCCATCCTACCCTAGATAGGCCACTTTAAATTCTTGTGATAACGCCCGCACTACTTTAGTTATATAATCTACTACGCTATGCTCAGTCTAACCCAGAGGCATTAGGGGGCGCCAAAATGGGTTGTAAAAACAAATTAAAATGTCACTTTAGCTGCATTTTTGCAGTTTGAGGGGGTGGGGGGGGGGCAAATCGAAAGTTTGGGGGGGGGGGGGGGGTTGCAAATCGAAAAGTTGAGGGGGGGGGGGGGTGCAAATCGAAAATTTGCTCCCGAGGGGGGGACGCCAAATTGAAAGTTTATCCCCGGGCAACCCTAGCGACTCCCTTATAGAATTTCTAGACGCCAATACTCTCGATCTATCTATACAAAGCTGAACTAAAAAACATGGCCGCTCGCCACGTCAACAAACAAGGGAAACAACCGAACAAATTAACCCTTTATTACCCCGCGTTACATCGTTCCTGTGAGTCTTATATTTAATTGATTATTACAGCAGGCTATAGATTACAACCCAAACATGAATGTAGTTGTGAAATTATATTTAAAAAAAACGTCTTGTAAAAAATGTGTAGTCTAGAAGTAATAAAAACAAACTATGTAATATTTTTGTACAGTTGTTTGTAAAGAAGAATCCGTTGGGGATGAAGTTTCGAGTCAATTACTGCTCCAAACAATGTATGTGTCAACTAACGTACATACACACGTTACACAAAATGATGCGTCGTATGGTATTAAGGCGACCATGTCGCATATATTTATGGCGCGTCATACGGTACTAAGACGATCGTATCGCATGTTTTTTGACGTGTCGTATGGTACTAAGACGACTGCATCGCATATGTCTTGGGGCTGGAATAGTCAGCCGTGCCTCATTCGTCTTAGGCTTACGTGGCGCTTACCGACTCACACACGCACACATACGCATGCGCGCACACACACTCTCTCTCTCTCACACACGTACACTTATACACACTCACACACACACACACGAGCCCTATTGGTCGGGTGCATTTTTTCAGGAATCTTTTTTGTCGTGTGCTATTTTGAAATGGGTTTTCAATTATCCCATATTTATATTAACGTTAGAACACGATGGTGTACACATATTGAAAGACGTTCTATTTAATTTAATCCTATAATAATGAGATTTGTTTTTCAATGTGTTTACTTTGTTTGGTAATTAGATTGCTGATAACATATTGTGCCTCTGAAATAGGCACAACGATTTTAATTTTGAGCAGATGATTTCAGTGGCGTAGCTGGGGAAGGGTTGGTGCTACGACCGCCCCTAAGAGGGCGCTAAACTGAGTACAAAAAATCTCTAACTGAGATATATTACTACATTGTAATAAACTGCTATGTGGCTCTTCAGACTGATTTAACTATTTTCTACAACGACCTAAAAACCGTTACATGAAAGTGGCTGGTATAAAGCGACCCAGGTCTTTCCAAATGGGAGGGGAGGGGGGACATTTTTGCCAATGTAAATAAATATATAAATGGGGTGGTCGCAGAATCGATAATTGTTCGCCCCGGACGCGGGAATGGGTGGCTACGCCTCTGATTCTTTTCGTTATTAAGAAGCCTGTAATATATTACACATGGCGCAATTAAATAAGGGAGATGTCAGGGAATATGGGAGGTCAGGGAATAGGGGAGGTCAGGGAATAGGAAAGTTGTCATAAAGTAATAGTGTCAGAAAGTAGTGTCACTTGCAGGGGGGGGAGGTGGGGTGGGGTGCGAACATAATAGGGTGTCGCCAGACCTAGTTACGTCACGGATGAAAAGAAGTGCTTCCTTTATCTGGGGGGGGGGGGGGCGAAAAATGCAAGTTTGACCATATGTGTAGGAAGAGGCACTCTTGTAGTCTGTGTGCTTCAACATGCCTGCCTTCTTCTTTGTCGTTCTTTATTTTAGTGTTCGAAGAGATCCCCTGCAACATATACGTGTCAATTTGTTATGCGCCTTTGAGGCCACTGACTCCTATTTCTGCCTGTTTTTTTATTTCATTTGGATTTGCTTCCATAGCCTTTGTCCAACCAAGAACAAAATATAAGGCAACAGTTGTTTGATTTTGGAGTTGACACCATGCATGTGTTTACGGAGGTGGTTTTTTGATGAGCACTAGTTTTACTAGAGCTATATCCTATAGTCAGATGTTAGATGTGTTCTTTATTGTTTGCCCATATGGTTTATATTTTAGTTCAGTGATTGCTTGAAAACACATTTATATTTTAGCTGCACTATTGCTTGTACGCACATACAGTTTTCTTGTCATAAATGAGCTCATTTATTTTACCTGTTATATTGGAGCTCACTCATTACCTAAAGTTTTACCTGTTATATTTTAGCTAATTGCCTAAAAGTTTTACCTATTATATTGGAGCTCATTTATTGCCTAAAGTTCACCTGTTATATTTGAGCTCACTAATTGCCTAATATTTTACCTGTTGTATTTGAGCTCACTAATTGCCTAATAATTTACCTGTTATATTTGAGCTCACTAATTGCCTAATAATTTTACCTGTTATATTTGAGCTCACTAATTGCCTAATATTTTACCTGTTGTATTTGAGCTCACTAATTGCCTAATAATTT